ACCGTTCAATGATGAACATCAAAAATAATAGTAATAATAATTGTATAATTTTCTTTTATTAAAACAGGAATATTAACAAAAAAATGTTCGTTTTAAAATTTGGTTTATAATTAAATTTTATTTAATTATTATATTTAATATTACTGCACAGTACTTATTTTGTCAAATTCATTTTCTTTTATATCGGTTAATTTGTGTCAAGCACTCATTATTATCAAAAAATTCATAAATTTCCACGATTGTGTTTTACAAATTAAATTACAATTGTAATTTATATTAATTTGATTTTAATTTGAATTTTATAATTTTGTTTGAAATATTTTCAAATTATCAATTTCTTATAAAAATCTTATAAACCGGTAACCTTTATTAAAGGCTATACGACTTCCATTTCTCTAGTATATAATTTTTTATATAAATTTCAATTCGAAAGGGAATCGAATTCCTACAAACGTATATTTTAAATTTTTTATTTTTATATAATATCAGATCTTAAATAAAAGCACATTCTGTAAAAGTAAAATTAGAAAAAAAAAAATTCTCGTTTTGAATATTTAAATAAAATTTTCCCTGTAACTGATGATGAATGATAAAATTTTACTTTAAAAGAGAAAATAAGAAATTAAAAAAATTTCTTTTTTATTTATACTTTACGCAAATTTAAAATTTTTAAATATCCTCTTCAAATTTCTAAAATTAAACATTTTCATATAAAAAATACTAAATTAGCAGATATTAAAAATAATATTAAAAAATATAACATTTATAAACCAAATTAAAAAAAAATGCTTCACCAAAAATATTTATTCCTTGATTACAATTATTCAGAAAATTTTAAATTACTTTGAAAAAAAATAAAAGTAATATTCTAATCCTTGTATGAACCTTATAATAGTTATTTACAATTAAACAACAACATATATAAATATATATATATATATAAATATATATATACAATTTTTTTTCAGTTCTATTTTAGCTTTTAAAGTATTTGTACTATAAAAATATATTATAATTACATTAAACAAAAAATTTGAAAATGAATTAAAAAATAAAATAAAATAAAAGGCAAGTAATCATTAAATTTACTCTTTAAAAATGTTACAAAATACGCATTAAAACAAAAAAATATTAACAATAATTACCTTTTTAAAGTAGGAAAGCAGCACATATGTAAAATTATAAATTCTATTAAAATAAAAGAACAAGTATGATGTTTTCTTCACACAGTTTGCAGTTTTAAAATAGAAATAGCAAAAACAAAAAAAAAAAAAAAATTAATTAAAAATATTTATATTTAATTGTTTCTTTAATAGTATACATATATTAAGAAAAGAATAGTTGGACAGCAAGAATGCTTTAGCATGAAACAAATACATAAGTAAAATTATCAAAAACAATATACAAAAACAAAACAAAATATATATATATAATAATTTTATTATAAAAGAAAAAAATTATATTATTTAACTTTAAATTTAATATGGAAATTTTGAAAAGCTATGTACTTTTTTTTTTTTTTTTTCTATTTATGATTGGTTTTCATTTAAGTAATTAAGTTTTTCGAATTGAAATGTGGTCAAACATTGCTCAAATGATTATTCATTTTAATTAAAAACTTAATATTATTAATAAAATATAAATTTTTGCTGTAATTTAAATAATATTAAGATATTTAAAATTGAATTTTAATATGGAAATGGAAAAATGCTCAGGCATATTATGTATATTGCAATTTTTGTCATAAGAAATTTTTTTTAAATTTACAATTTTGCAACAATTGGTATTTTTATCCATATTAAAAATGTGCAATATGCGCAGTTTAAAAGACCCCATTTAAAAATCAATATTATGAAAACCAATCTTTATTATCTACATTCTTTTTAATTTTTGTTTTTCTCTTTAATATTTCAATAATAATAATAATAATAAAAAAAAAAACAAATCACATAATTATCTTATATTAATTATCATTTTATTTTTCTTTGTATTCAATAATTATTATTATGAATAAAAAATTATTATTATTAAAAATAAATATGTATTTACGTATATAGTTATTAAAGCAAAATAAAAAAACAAAAACAGAAGGAAATATTTACAAAAATATATATTAAATTAAAAAAATACATTAAAAAAGATTTTTGTTTTAACTTTAAATGGCATGTTAAACTTGTAATCCCACAAAAATTTATGGAAAATATACACAAAATACAAAATACAAAAAAAAAAAAAAACAAACATAACGAAAAATTTTAAAATTTAATGTTAATGGAGAATAAACATGTAGAAATTGCCAAATTAAAAAATTAATATATTTGAATATGATTGTAATTAATTTACTCTACTGACGATTTTTAACATAATATTTATACATAAAAGTAATTAAAATGACTAGCAAGCTATTAGTTTTCTTGCTTTTTTAGTTTCAATTACTCTTAGCATCTTGTCTTAATTAAATTGTAAAAAATCTATAAAATTATTAATTAATATAAAATATATTAAGTTTATTATTAAATAACATACGCAATTAATTTTTGCTTTAAATATATTCACATTTTAATTTTATAAATAAATATTATAAAATTGTATAAAATTTTATATTATAATATTATATTCAATTTGTATATATTATAATTTAAATTATAATGTAACATTACTTATATAATGTATGTAATATGTTTTTATAAATAAAATTTTTTATTTATATTAATTTTTATTTTTTGGTAGTAAATATATAATATAAAAATAAAATTGACGGTAACTTAAAATTTGCAATAAAAAAATGATTGTAAAAATTAAAGTAATACCAACATTTTTAATATTAAAAAATTTTGAATATAAATGTTTTCTTAACATTTCGAAATAAAATCTTAATTCGTCAGTAGTTACAAAAAAAAAAAAAAAAACAAAATCATATTCTTTTCAAAAAATTTGTATTCAAAAAAAAATAATGAATACTTTGTAGAAAATGAAATATAAATTTTTGTCTTTTATTTTTTTCAGTAATTTCTACATTTTTTTTTTTATGTTTTAAAATTTTAAAGCAAAGATCAAAAAAAAAATTCTTAATTATAAATGTTATTCAAATAACATTATCAATTTAAAAAAAATATTCTCTACCGCTATCTACAATATTATCAAATTAAAAAAAAAAACAATGAAAAGTTAAGAAAGAAATAAAACTTATTTAAAAAAAAGAAGTAAATATACATTTAAAAATAATTATAATTATTATATTTAAAGAAAAATATATTAAAGTTTAAAAAAATGCTACATTACATATTCTTATTACAATTATTATAATTATTAAATGAAAACAAAACTATTATATATATATATATATATATATGGGCAGTCAGAAAATGTAAGATTTGTCTGAATTATAAAAAAAAAAAATGAAAATGAATAAAATGTTTAGACAAATTATTTATGTATTTTTATTCAATATAATAATATAACAAAATATTTTATTATTGTAGATTCTAGTTGAATTAGTAATGATCACCATAAAGCAAAATTGATTAATTGGTCATGGAACACCATGAAACAAAAATACCAAGTTCATCAAAATGTCATGACTCTATTCAATTAGTAATAGAATTTTTAACAGAGATATAGTAAAAAAAATATTTTGAAAAATCTACTTGTGATAAGTTATAATAAAGTTAATCAGAAAATTTCAATACATATTCTTATTTGCAATAGTATATCATTTACTATTAGAACTAATAATCATGACAAACTGATGAAAACTATGAATATTATATAATACTTACTCTTAAAAACCTTCATTTAAGATTTTCCATAATTTTAATAGGAGAATTATGAAAATTATTTATTCCAAAATTAAAATTTTGTTTATTAAAGCTGTAAATGTTAAAAAATACTTTCATATTTAAAAAAAAAAAAAAAGATGACTTTATGTTTGCTTCTTTTTTATGAAACGTTTTTGGTAAATACTCGAAAATTCAATTCTAATTTAGGTCTTGTAATACCAGATTCGATAAATCCAAACTAAAAAGGTTGAATTTTTGACAAAATTGAATTGGTTGAAAATTTTCACAAAAATAAAAGTACGTTGGAAAATTGTAGCATGCTTGAAGTTGTTATAAGTTTTTGAGGTTTTTTTTTTTAAATGTTGCAAAAAATATTTTAATTTTGAAAAAAATCATAAAAAAAAAAAATATAAGATACGAGTATTAAAAATCTGAAAAACTAAACTAGTTAGTTCCTGCAGATCTGTGGTGATGTGAAAAATTATTTTTAAAATTTAAGTTACGATTTCAAGTGCATATCTGAATTATCATTAATAACGTGAATGAAAGGCAATTTTTTCGAATTGAAGAAAAATCACAATGCATGGTAAATAAGTAACAAAATTTTTAGTTTTCAGTAATGCCTAATAGACCATATTCTAATATAGTCATATTATCTGAGGTGATGGGATATTATTAAAGAGTATTTTGATCACATCTAGTTCGACTAACAGAATGCTAAAAAATTTCGATTCACTTTTTTAAAACACTGTTCCAATTATTTTTTTTAGCTATCTGTTTATAAGAAAGTTTTGCTTTTCCAAAATAATAATATTAAATAAAATTTATAAACATATTTTTTTGTTAAATTTTTTTAATTTATATTATTTATCTATTATAAATAAGTATATAATTTTAAATCTGTTATACAATATTTAAACAAAATTAAAAAAAAATATTCTAACAACAATAATTTTTTTCATTTTAGCCTCTTTAACATTTTATGATACATATTTTTCTTCGATAATTATATTTTATTATATTTAATTTTTATTTAAAACAATCAAATTATTTGAATGCATAATATTATACTAGTATATACTTATTATAATATTATAATTTTGATATTTTTGTTTATCACTATTTTAACACAAATTTAATAATACAATTTCATTATTAACGCATTTGTTTTATGTAAATGAAATTAATATTGTTATTTAACAATATTTTTTTTTTTGCTTATATAAAATTTGATAATTTAAGATTATTATAAATAAACATTATGACTTTGTTCACAATATAAAAATTGATTAATTACAGTATATGCAATACTTTCAGTATATTGAATACAATTTCTTATAAAATTTTCATCAATTATTTCTTCATTATTTATACCATCTTCAATACATTCTTTTGCAAGACGTTTCGCTTTATATGGTAAATCTTTTAATGATGAACGTCCATATGAACATATTCCATATGAATTAATATTTGAATTATAAGCAGCATCAGATTCTTTTTTAATATTTATTTCCATATCATAAATTTGTTGATCAATTTGAATTGTTGAAAAATCATAAGAATTTCCAGTATTAATCTAAAAGTAAAAGAAACTAGTTACAATGTTAAATTCATTATATTTGAAAAGAGGAAAAATAAATTCAATAAAATGTATTTTTATTTACCAAATAAAATAGTCCGATAATAAATATACAAAAAATTTTTTTACAATAATTCTTCATTTTAAATTCCTGCTGCACACGATTTATATTTTAAAAATTGCATTACAATTTTCTTTTATATATATAATAGCATCAGATGTTCTAATTTATTTAAATGCAAATATCTTGAAATAAATTTAAAAAACAAATAAATGGTGTATAACAATAAAAAAAAATTGTATTAAATTAAAGGTATAGGTAAGCTTTATTTGATAATTATTTAAAATTGTAAAATTGCTTTTGCATAAAAAATACAAAATAATTAAAATAAATTTTATTTATGTATGCAAACGATATTTTAAATGAAATGAATTAAGATTTCTAATTCTGATACTTTCAAAAGTTTCGTAGATGTACGTTTGCACTGTTATAATAACAAAATATTTTGTTATATTAAGAGTCGTTAACATTTAGACTTTAATGTTATATTTGTTTCTTGTTTATTCTGTCATAAATAATTTTATGACAAAAATTTTTTTTAATTAATAATTTCGTTATACTAAACTAAAAGTTGGAAATTATTTGAGTATAACAGCATAACATACACCTTTTTTATAATGGAAGAAAAAAAAAGCTCGATTTACTATATAGAACAAATTTATTTTGTACTATAATTAAGAAGATCTCATATTAAATTTTTTTTTTTTATCTTGACAACATTTTATTTCAGTATTAATGAAAATAATTTTATGCTTCATTACTGTAAAATATAATTATTTTATTTTTGGTATTCTAGTTTTTAGTTTGTCGTAAATTAGAAATTTACTGGGCATTTTTTGATGCAATCAACTGTAAAATAATAAATTACATTCAATTACGTATGTAACTTTCTTCTTTCACTGTAGTTTTTCTTTTAAATACATGCGCATATTTATTTTATAGCTATTTACGTATGTAACATGTATTTAACAATTTGAAGGCCTATTTCAATAACAAATATAACAGGTGTTCGTATATATAACAAACCATGCATAATTTATAAATTTATAATTTAATAATTTAAGTGTTAAGTACCAACTGAATACTAAAATATTTTAATAGGATTTAAGTAAATTTTTGTGTTTGTTTTTTTTAATTAAATTTTTTAACTGTTACTTAAACTGTAAAAATTAATTATAATTTTTAACTGTTACTGTGAATCAATTTTAATCTATAACTCTTTTTCAGTTTACAGTGATACTTCATTATTTTAATTTGTTTTCATAGAATTCTGTTCGGTGTAAAGAAATTTTCAAATTTTTTAAATGGAGGTATATATTTTTTTATTTTTGTGACTAGAAGAAACAATTTGTGCGTTGTTATGTTTAAATGCTCCAGTTAATAATTTAAAATTATTAGGTTTTAATTATTCGAATTTATTAAATATTTGTTGTAAAAATATTCGTTTTCTGATTTACATACATAATATGTTATTGTTAGCTTTTTGTGTACTAATGGTATAGAATGTCTACATCCTATAATGGATGTTTAAAAATTGAAAGAAATTCTAAATAAAAGGTTTATGTATATATTTTAACTATACATACATAATATGATTAAAATAATTTTTCTTATAAATTAGAACACTTGCGTAAATAATATTGATATTTCTAATTTCGTAAAAGATCGCAGCCCGATATACAAGGTGTTAATATTTCATTAACACAATTATTTTTTTATTTTTATTTTTCTACACGTTTAATTTTAAGTATATATTTTTAAATATCCATATACTATATATTTTTAATTGATATACTTATAATAGAAAAGCAACAGAAATAAAAATTTATATTTTGTGAAAAAAATAAATTAAAAATGTAAATATAGCATTCTTATATTTATTATACTCGAATAGATTAAATTTGCGAAATTTTTTTTATGAAAAATTAATTAGACACTTTGAGATAAATATGAAAACATCTTAATATAATAAAGAGTATACTAGTTTTTGTGTATTTTTTGCAATATTTATCAATTTTTGTTTATAATTAAGGTACCTACTTACCACTTCTCTGTTGTATACTAATTTAGAATATTTATTGTCGTCTTTTTTTTCTTTTTGTTAAAAATTTAATAAATAACTATTGCGTGTCATGTTTTGTAAAAGAATTGAAATATTTTACGTAAAAAAAAATTCAATTTTATAATATTTTTCAAATTGAAGTATTAAAATAAAAATCTCATTTTAATTACAAATAATTAGAAATTATAAATGGAAAAAAATTTATTACACCCACATTTCATTATTCGAATAGCGAAAAAAAAATTTTAATTATAAAAAAAAAAATATGTACATACCTATGTCTGAATGTATATTAGCGCTTAAAACAGTTGTTCAAATCATAAACTTTGAAATGAAATAACGAAATATTTTTTTTTTTATTATTTTATATTTTTTATCTAGTTCAAAAATAATTATAACAATAGAAAGCTTGTGGTACACAATGAGAATTATAATGTTTACTATATAACAACATGAGCGTATAAATAGTATAGAAAAAATTTCATATTTGGGAAGGTAATTTAAAGATTTGAGAAAATATTGTAAATTTAGTATTTTCAACTTAGAAATTCTAAAATTTTTAAATTGCCGTTAAATTCCAATATACGTTGCCAACGCAATTTATTATTATTTTATTTTTGCATTTCTTTATTTTATATATGCAAATATTGCTTAAATGGAGATGACTGCCATTTATAAAACTCAAGCGAATAATGTGGTTGACATGATCGTCAAATTTTTGGCGTAGATACTTTGACATAATTAAAAACTGCATTATGCATAAGTGATCTGGCATGTGTTTATTGAAGAAATTATTTAATTGGGCCTGATTGTAGTAACTAATTTTTACATCATTTTTTTTTTATTTAATTGATTAATTTCCAAAGTTCCTACTACACCAATACTCAAAACACTAATAGACTATTCTAATAAAACAAGTAAAAGCAAAAGTATAAGTAAAAGTGATTGGTGCATGGGGAGTCTAATTGACATTTGCAAATACAAATGATTATGTATATGACACTGATTGACATAATTGGTCGGTTAGATATTTTAGAAATATTTTAAAGTCATGGATGTCAGAGTTCATTTTGTTTTTTGGGATTGAACGTTCAAAGTACTGAAAAAAAAGAAAGTAAGAAATAATTAAAAAAAATTAATTAACTAGTTTTCAATTTTTTAACAGTTTTTAATCGTTTAATTTCTAATTTTTTTTTTTGTTTTTTTCAAAATATATTTACAGAATTTTTTTTTTCTTCATTTTTGTTTTTAATAAAATTTTCAAATTAATTTTAAATATTTTCAAAATATTTAATTTATTTACAATATTTTTTTTTTCTATTTTTTTTTTTTTTGGTTTTTATTTTATAATTGTTATGAAAGATTTTGCTAAGTTTTCCCAATTTTTTTTTGTTATATTTTTTTTTTTTGTGATAATACTTATTTGTTCGTTTTTGTGTGTATGTTCCTTAAGTAATTTCTTGTTCAATAGTTTTTCATTATATTTAAATATAATAATAATTTTATATATATATATATATATATATATATATATATATAAATCCTTAATATCTTTTAAGAAAGATATTACAAAAATACAAATTTTGTTTCTCTTTATTCCATTAATAATGTAATAAAGTTTATTTTTTAAGGTTGTTTTTAATTTATATACTTTTAATATTATATTTAATGAAATTTCTATGAAATTTTCAATATTTTTTTTTTTTTTTGAAATTTATTATTTGTTTTTTTAAATTTTTTTGTAATAAATTTTGTTCAAAAAAAGTTTTTTTTTTTTTTTTTCATTTTAATTATTTGGTGTTTTTAATCGCTAACAATTTTTCATTTGTTTTAATGTTAATTTATAATTATGTTAATAAGTATAAATGTTTTTATTTTTTAGAAAAATAAATTAAGATATTATTTAATAAAATATTTTAAGAAAATAATATATAATAATTAATTTATTATTGAAATTTACATATGTATAATATAAATTTATAATATTTAATAATTGGAAAGAAAATCTTATGCCGATAAAAATAAATTATAATATTTGCAATATTTGATTACTGCGACAGACACATGCCTTATAGAACGGAAAAAAACTGACTATAACGATGAATCTGAAACTGTAATTTTTGTGAATTCTAGAATATTTTAAATTCACTTTTATTTTAAATTATACAAAGCGAGTAATTCAGCAAAGAGTATACAATATTATAAATAATTATTTAGGGCATCGAAAATAAATAAAATTTATGTTTGGAATCATAATTATTGTCAAATCTCAATTCGAAATACAGGGATTTTAAAAAATTTTGACGTTTATAATAGATTTTAATGAATTTTGAATTAATAACGTATTGAGATTTGACAGTTAGTTCTAAACAAAAGTTTTACCAATATTTTTGATGACCTTAAATAATGATATATAATTATTGTTCTCTGTTTATATCAGTAAGTAAAATATATGTATATAAAAACTATAATATATAAATAATTAATATGTTCAGTTTACATATTGCATTGATATGCGGTTTTTGAAATCAATTATTCGATATTCTGATAATTCGATTTAACATAAATTTCGGAATTATATACACGTATTTCAAAACGTAGACTTTTACGTATATACTGTTATATTGTGGAATTTAAAATAGGTTATAATTTAAAGTTCTTATTTAATGGAAATATTTTATTATATTTGTATTAATATAATGTTTAATTCAAATTAAAATGAAAACAATTAAAAATTAAAATAAAATTTTATATTTTAAATTTCAATTGTATATTTTATTTTATATATATATATATATTATTTTCTTAAAATATTAAATAATCAACAATTGATAATAATTAATAATTAATAATCAATAATTAATAATAGATATAATTATTAAATTAAAAATCATTTAGGAAATTTTATTAATTTTATTTTTTTTTTTTATTTTTATTTATTTATTTTTGTTTTGTGTTTTTTCTTTTTCTTTAATAATTATGTTTTAAAGCGTTAAATTGAATATATAATAATATTAATTAATTATTATTATAAATGTTTCATTTATAAAAATGTGTTTTTGGTTTCTGTTGTTTTTGTTTTTATTTTTTTCTAAGTTTAT